ATTCTAGCTTTCAATATCATCCACCCAAATAATGTATCTTTTATTTCTTCTCTCTAGTCTCTAGGTTTGGAATGGAAAGTTTGATTAGGTGGGGACCAAATACATACCATAGGTTAGGCGGCGTTATATATATTTACTTAATACTTTGGTTCCTATTTAAACAATAATGACTTTGAAAAGTTCATATTCTTTTCTTTTAGAATTTAGTATTCTCAATTAATTGTTTTCTAATTTAATTATGGTGCAAAGATAAATCTTCTAGGACGAGGCATCTTTCTGGTAAAAAGATATGACTTGGACGAGAGAATCAAGCTTGCTGCGTTTGACAAGTTCTATCAACTAAGGAAGGATATGGGTAAGATTTGAAAGAATAAGGCTAACTCCCATTATGTAGTTTGTATCTTATTTATATGTGCAGTGAAGGTTTATTTTATATACACATACACACGTGTGGATGGATGCTTAATCGATATATTAACTTTAAAAAATCAAAAGAAAAAATTAACCTATATATATGGGCTCGTTTGATAATTATTTTCATTTTCATTTTTAGTTTTCATTTTTTGTGCTAGAGTATAGAGAAAATTGAGTGTGAGGATGATATTGAGAGAGAGGATTAGAGGATAAGATGAGAGGGAGGAGTAACAAAAACTTTAAAGTGAAAATAATTTCAAATATATTTCAGTTTTTACTTTTTGTTTTCACTTTTATTACTTATTCCTCTCATCCTTCCCTCTCATCTTCCTTCTCAATTTCATCAAAAAACGGACCTACTCTTCGACTAACATGGGCTATAGCCCAAGTGACTTTGTCTTTTTAAACCTAAACTGATACACCCATTCCACCCAATGAATAGCCCCGCACTGCACTCTCATAATCCCCCTTCACCTCTTTTTCTCTCTTTTTCTTTTTGGTACAAAGGGGGCCAAAGGCCAAACACAAAAAACTCTTGTTTCTTTTATTTTGTTGGTAAAAAAACCTCTTATTTACTTTTTTGGTAAAAAAATAACTCCCCTTCACTTCACACACTGCACGTAGAAAATATAAAAGAACTATGTACTAGATACATTTTGAGGGCTAAAACTCATTATGTCATCATGATTAGGTGTAGCCTTTTGTTATCAATGAATTTCACTTCGTATTGTCAAGTTTAATAACTATGTGCGCATAAGGTAAATTTAGTCCACCCCAATTTGAAATCCTGGTTCCATCCTTGATTCCATCTTCACTCTCATTCTCACTTCCATTATTCCTCTTTTTTCTCTACAATAGCAAAAAAATGAAAACTAAAAACTAAAAATGAAATGGTTATTAAACGGGCGTGTATATACATGCGCAAAATAGCATATGCATTTGAAATTCCACCGTCAATATTATATAGCCTTGATCACTAAGTAACCGACCTCCTTTGTTTTGTATATTGAAACGATAATTCTTGAAAGGTAGCCTAAAAACACAGTTAGCATAATTAGTTTACGGTCTAAAAACAAGATAGTCTTATTCGAAGGAAAATAAAGACATCTTTTCTATAAAAGCCCCATATAGAACCAGGTTTTGGCCAAAAGTATTCATCATGAACCAGCTCTTGTTTCATGTAAAGTGAATGAATTGGAATAGAGTGACTTTCTAGTTCAAAGCCAATCAAGATTTCCTCGTCGACATTCTTTTCCATTGGTATAATCTGCGGTATCTCCCCTTCAAAAGCTACATGCAATTAAGCCTTTAATTTTTGCTTTAGTGGAAACAAAAAGTCCGCTAACTTTTGTGTGTAACGAATAGATAAAACCGTGGTGGCTTTATACCCGATGCCAAAACCAACCAAACAGAAATGGCCACTTATTTGAAATTAAGATAAATTAATACGATAAAATCCATATAATTAAGCGTAAGCTTAGGTCGATGCACTGTTGGTGATGGAAATTGAGGTAGCCAGTGAGATTGAACCTTGAAAGATTTTGTTAGAAATATATCAACAACAACCAACTCCAACCGTAGGATTCCGCCCATGTTGGAGAGATTTTGTTTGGGATTATCATGCCATTGCCATCACAGTAACTACAGTTAGCAACTAAACTAATCTTAATTAAGCATATAAATAAATATGCTTAAAGTGAACCCGGTAAAAGTTGGGTGAATTAGATACACAACACATGAGCTTGAGTGCCTAAGACCCAAATATGATAAGAGGTCCATTAAGCATAGTGGCAGCCACTGTCGTTTCTAACTTTCCTGGACATGTTTCAATTGCTTTCCCGTGAGAAAGCTCCATCCATGGAAAGGGTTGCTCGACACGTGTCATTGGAAAGCACGAGTCTCCTACTTTTGAAAAAAATAGATTGGACGGGACAAACTAAATTCGTTCAATAGCACGCCACCTTTAAACAAATGAAATGGAAAAGGAGCAAATGATTTATTAATCAATTCATGTAAAGCACCAAAGGAATGAATAATATGTAGTTAAATATTAATTATTTGGTTTAGTGGTGCTCCTTCGTTTCTTTACATGTAGCCACATCAACCTTTACCAAGAAATTGTATAACGACATTGCGTCTCTCCTTGCTTACAAATCAAAGTTTAAGACATATGCAAGAATAATTCATCAAAAACTAAAAAAGAAAAATCTCAATACCCATATCGAAATGTGACTATCAAGAAAATAGGCGTTAATACTTTCATAAAAGAAAGCAATTATTTTCCATTGCATTGTATAATACATGTTGACCTATTTAAGTAATTTGGTAGGGAGTGATTAGACACGACTTTCTATTAATTTATTAAAAGTTATTTTACTTGGTGTCAGATTTCCAAACTCTCTGAGTCATTCGAGTCCAACTCATCTCCTAAAACAAAAACAAAAAACCTTTGATGGCGACTTCACAAATGTCAACTATTTGTTTTGATTTCAAATCAAAATCTCTGTGTTTTATAGTTCTTACTTTCCCATTAGATATGGTTTTGAAGTAATTAATGGAACTATAATTTTGTGGTTCGCGCACGGCTTTGGTCTCCTCCAATTACCACATGATGAAGTGCTCTGCGAGAGGAGAGTAGAGAGATGATTGCCTGGTTTACGTATCTGAACTTTCTCTTTTGGTTATATACTTTATTACACCAGACACACAGATACATCTGAAGAATATTGGTTTGTAATTGTTGCCAAATATATATATAATACTTGTGTTTTGTATTTCTCCTCAGGCATGTGTATGAGTCTATGAGTCTATAAAATTTTGACTATCCTAATTAAAGAAAAGGGTGGCAAGAAAAGAATGCACATTGAAACAAGTGGTTGTGGTTAAAAGGCAAAAAGGATGAATTTAGGCATTGACAAGCACACCAAACCAAACGCATAATTGTCAGTGTAAGAAGGGATTATACAACAGCGCCCATCCCATCCCAGGCCAACCAATGAAAAACATGTTACATCTTTTTTCTCTTAAAGGTTACAACCTACTACATCCTTCCTTCCTACTTTTGTTATTTAAGAGTTGCCAGAGTGAGAAAAACATGCACTTTTGTCTTAATAAAAAATATTTATTTTACATTTTGGCGAAGTAAGAGCATTTATTGGGTTTTAAACATATTACTTTATATAACCGAGGGGTTTACCTCAGTGGTGAGGTCCCTCCCCCTTCCCCCCTGGTCATCTATTTGAATCCCAGGATAAGTGCCTCCTCCCCAATGCAATATATCTATCACTAATTCTTAAAATACATGTTTCTATATATATATACACACACACACACACCTCACCCACACTAACCTCACCCGTGTGTCAATATGTTTTTCTATATATATTGATTTCTACTTGATTTCAAACATAAAAACTCCCTTATGTTAGTATCTATAGTCTCTGTCATTGGGCTCGAAGCTTTGGTAATATCTGTTGTCATCAGCCATGCTGATGCTATCACCATTGGAGGCCACGCACAACTCTTTGTCAGCCATATATGGACTTCAAAGTTGCTAACTAGATTCCAATATGAACTTCAACATTGCGGAGATGGATCAATAACTCTATGAGTGCCTTATTAAATATATAATACAAATATATGACTTATTAGAGATAATTAAGTGATTAGATAATGGAGATGAAGAGATCATAGAACAAAAGCTTTGCTTCAACTAAATGTTGGGTGGATGCAGTACTTGTAGTACACTAGAACTCAATGCCACTTATAAATAATAATGGAGGCACTAGCTAGGAATCAAGTCATATTCATGGTTCAACTCCTCCAATGATATAACATGGGATCGAACCTTTGTTTTTATGTTTAAAATCAAATTAAAAACCGAGATTGCAGATTTTCTTTTTAGGTTTTTGTGGATTTTTACTTATGAGGGTGTTTGAGTATTTTTGGGTGAAGTTTTTGCTATTTTTGAAATTTTTTATAAAAACTAATGTTTACGAAAGTAAGGGGGTAAATTTTGGCTAATTTTGATAAAAACTTCTATTTTTTCTTACGTAGGGAACTTATAACTCATGGTTAAAATCAATTACATTTGCTAGCGAGATTTTGTGTTTGAATTCCCACTCTCCCAATCTGAAAATGGAAAACAGGCAAGGATGGATTGTTAAGGAAATACCAAAAAAAAAAAAAAGAATAAAGGAACGACCCATATTGTAAATTCGGGAAGTGGAAATTGGTAGTATGGCCCACCCTTCATATATGGGCCCCGTGTAGAGCGTGGCCAATCCTTCTTATTGGGCTCATCCACAAGGTCGTGACCGTCTAAATTGATAGGCCCACACTGTTGGCATGCTTGCGGCATCATTCACCTGAAATCCTCCTCGACTACCCAAACCCTTACCCTTCGAGTTGTGCCAAATCTACACAAATACCCCTACCATATATCTCTTGGTCAAACTCGGGATTTCATTTTATTTATTTTTCTTCCAAAAAAATAAAAAACAATACACGAGGTCAAATTCGTAATTACAGTATTAATAATTTGCCCCATACATAAAAAACGAAAATTGCCAATACTGAATAGAAAGAAAAGAGAGTAAAATCTCAGAAGAACAAAAACCCGTTGCCAAAATCCCAAGGCTTCCCAAATCGGTACGTTCCACTGTCCTTGGAAACCCTAGATTATGTAGATGGTAAATGAAATGAAATCCAGTAGCTTTGGAAGCAAATAAAGATGGAAATTTTTATGTTGTTTGTTGTTGTAGAGCAAGCGAAAGATGGATGGTGTGATATCAGCCAATGACCAGCAGCGCCTGGTCACTTCGTTTTTGGAGATCGCTGTGGGGCAGACTGCCGACACCGCCAGACAGTTTTTGCAGGTTACTCTGAATCTCACAATTAGTATCCAAAACGCATCGCATTGATCTCCTTCTTTGTTTTCGTATTTTTTGCTCTTTGGGTAAAGAAAAGTAGTTGTATTAGTAGATTCAGGTGTTCATTGGATTGCAAGGTGCTTACTTGAGTCTAGTATAATGTATGGATATTGAAAATTCCAATTTTTACATAAACAGGCAACGGGCTGGCAGCTTGAGGAGGCAATTCAGCTGTTTTATGTGGGTAATGAAGCAGGGTCAATAGCTGCGGCACAGCCTCCGACTGAAAATATTGATCATTTGGCGGATCAAACTTCTGGGTATTTCATATTGTTCAGTTGTGCTTTTTCTTTGTTGGCAGTTTTTTTTGACATTGGGTTTGTAACAGTGCAAATGAGAATGTGGTACATCATGGTATAAATGAGAATGTTGGACAACTTGGTGAAGATGAGGTGCGCCCTCCTATGCCTGTTATAAGGGACGTTCTTTATGATGATGCTGCGCTCTATGGGTATGTTCATCTTTAGCTTTGTCCTTGGACTAGATAGCTTTGTATTCTATTTCGGTGTGTTGTAAAATTTCTTTCTTTCTTTTTTCCCCAGTTTCTTCTTAAGTATATGATATACTTAACTTGATCATGGAAATGTTTTCTTCTTCCTTCGAGTTTAGATCTTCTGAATTGGGTTTTCCGTTTACATAACAATGCATTAGTATTGTAGGATAGTGCTAGGTCTGTAGAAATTGCATTTTGAGACTTGGGAAATCACATGGTATTTCATTATTATTCCTTCATTCTTTCCTATAGCGATTGGCATGCCTCGTGTAAAATACTAACGGAGTTTGATAATTGGAATGTTGTAAAGTTTCAAAAAGTCTCCTTTCTATTTCTTTGATAAAAGTAATATAGGTGGTGTATTATATCTGTTTTCCTTTGTTATTAATATTCATGCTTCATGTCAGATGGTGGATTTTTATTGCACACAAGACTACATGGTGTGATTTTTATTAGTTAGTTGATTTCATTTTATATGCACAGTATTTACTTTGGTCTTGTGCAATCTTAATATTTAAACCCACCCTAACATGTAGTTGCAAGCCAATATGCATGTTGTTTTTTTCTTTTCACAAGTCATTTTATATGGTGTATTTGGCCTCTTTTCTCATCGTATTTTAATAAATGGAGGTTTCTTTTATGCCTATTTCATCTAGCTCACCAAGAGCAAGATTTTCACAACATGAATCGGGTTCTGTAATTGCATTCCGTAACTTTGAAGAGGAAATGAAGCATCCTGGGGTATGGGAATCAGGCCAAGGTGCTACATCCTCTGCAGAAACGGCTCGAGATAATCTTGCTTCCTTATATCGTCCTCCCTTTAAGCTACTGTTCCAGGGTTCCTTTGAAAAGGTATGGTCATTTGTTATCTTCCAGGCTTGATAGTTTGTGTAATGTAGAACTTGAATGGTTATAATCAGTATATTGGTGTTATGGGTTGCCAGGAAGGGCTTTGTGGAGGTACCCCTCATGTTTTGGGCCTTTATTCTTAGTCGGAGAAATTACATATATCAGATCTGATCATGAATCTTGCAGCTGTGACTCTCATATAAAACCTTTCTGGTTTGTTATACCAGATCAATCATATAGATTCAAAATATATGAGATGCGGAAATCAAAGAATACTAGTTGATCAAGGGACATGTAGAGTGATACAGTCATTGTTTAGTTATTCATACTCATTGAGCAAATAAAATTGAATATTTTTTTATACTAATGCAGGCAAAAGGTGCTGCTTCTGTCCAGGACAAATGGCTCCTGGTGAACTTGCAATCCACTAAAGAGTTCAGCTCTCATATGGTAGGCATTTTCTCTGCGGTCTATTTCATTTTTGGTTTGTTGGTTTCTTTGTTTTTCTACATGTAGACTTGTGTGTGTATAAATACCTTTCTTTGTGAAGCTTAATCGAGACACCTGGGCCAATGAAGCTGTCTCTCAAACCATTATTACTAATTTTGTATTCTGGCAGGTCAGTACCATGTTTAAGTGACAATTTATTATGTATTTATGCTTGCTATTTCTTTCTATTAAATTAAATTAGCTGTGCTATTTTATTAGTTATACAAGTGCAGGCTGCTGATGGGTTTTATTTGTTGATAAATTCCTTTTACATGTTATTGGCTTATCCTCCCTTACGAACTTTATTGTTTGGTATTGTGTGAAGCTTGTGATATGCATGTGCACATTTGCTCTCTAGATATACATACTTCGAGATAAATGATACATAATTGGGTTGGCAATTACATATGCATTATCATTTTCCCTTGGTAGGAGTGTAATAGCAAGTAAATCTTATCCAAGGCTGCCATAGATGGTTTGACGTTTTGTTAGGAATATAGTATATGCTAATCTATGAACCAAACGTTTCTAAAAGGTTGAGATTTTTTTATCCAAGGCTGCCAAGATTCTTAGAATCTCTTTTTGGACTTCAGAATTGTGAAGATTATGTTTAATTGTGTTAATCTTTGTGTGGGATTTTCTTCCTAATTTGTATGACAGCATACGTGGACATGAATCTTTTGGATCACCTTTATGCTTCTGATTTAACCAACCGTTTTTGTTTGTGCTTCATCTGTTTGATGTTGGTCCGCAAATATAGACATATGATGATACAACTGAAGGCAGGAAGGTTTGCACATACTACAAGTTGGAATCTATGCCTGTAGTTCTCATTATTGACCCCATTACTGGGCAAAGAATGCGTTCATGGAATGGAATGGTTCAGCCGGAATGTTTGCTAGAGGTAAATGCCATGGCGTACATTGTATCTTCACGGTTGAGTATAAAGTTTTCTCTTGTTAGAGAGCTTAAGAAACCTTTTCCTACAATGATCAAACTTTTACTTTGAAGTTCAATTTTGGCATGAAAACATCCTTGCCACTGTAGGATCTATTACCCTTCTTGGATAGTGGCCCCAGGGACCATCATGTAACTTTGTCCCATAAACGCCCAAGAGAAAGTTCTCTGCCTCAGCCACAGAAAACTAAAGGTATGCGTGGGCTTCCAAATATCTTCTGCTATATTACATTGCAGTGAACCATTTTGCTTCTTGAATCTGTTGAATTTTTATTATTTTTCAAATTATTGCATGGGTAAACCTCTCTGATTGATCCTAATCCTTGTTCCAACTCAACAAAGTGGGGTCGGGGTAGTAGAAAAAAAGGAAAAAGAAATCTTTTGTAAAGTGTAATATGAAGTGAAATGACATTAATATGCTTAACTGAATGAATGATTGAAGTATGCTTTAGAAGAAAAATCTGCAGCTGAAATTATAGTTGTTTTCCCATTTTACATATTGTTTCATTATTTGATGCTCCTTTTGATATCATAAATGGGGTTGCTGTTTATGTTGTTGTATGAGTGATTGTTTCAGCTTGATTGTAGTGATATTAGATAGAAGTTTTGTCTGAATAGTTTGGTATTGACATTGACATATCTCTTGGTTAATGTGCTTGGTTTCTTGTGTTCTCATGAAAATATGCTTGGTTTCTTCTGTATTAAATACCTGTGTCAGTATCTGCGATGGTGCTTTGTGTATTCGTGTTGTATGTGGTTTACTAAGAGGCTCAGATGGGTGATTGCTTGTACATACCGCCAAATTCGTAAAGCCGTGACATCTCCGAATTTGTATCCATCTTTGCTAGCAGCTGAATGATGCATTCTAGATCTGCTCTTGAAAACTTGTTTTGGATTTGTTCTTTCCTTTTTCTTCTTTTGTTATTTTTTTTTCGTAGATGAGCTGCATGTATGACTTAAGGTGCTTCAGTTGCAGACGAAACTAATGAAGAAGACGAGGAAGTGCAGCGCGCATTGGCAGCTTCAATGGAAGGCATGCAGGAGACAGGTGGGATATCCAAAGATAAAGATGAAATCATTACTGACAAGGAGGAAGAAAAATGCTCAGCTAAGGCGCCTGCATATCCACCTTTGCCTGAAGAACCCAAGGGTGATAAGAACCTCCTTTGCAGGGTTGGAGTCCGTCTTCCAGACGGGCGCAGGGTGCAGCGGAATTTCCTTCGCACTGATCCAATTCAGGTAAGAGGTGAAAGAAGTTTTTTTGTATTAGTATATAACGGAAAAGATTTGAATTGTGATTAGCATTTAACAATTAATTGCATCTAAACCGAGAGAGTTTGACTGTGTAAATCATTTTTATCAAAGTTAAATGCTTGCAGAGAGTTCATGCATATGTTTGACAAAATTTGCACAGTAGACTTATATGGCTTGCACTACCATCGAAAGGATGAGCACAGGCTGTTATTAGCAGGATCTATTCTACTCTCCTCCCCTCCTAGGGTTGTCACTAAATTTGAATTGTTTGTTTTGCAGATGTTGTGGTCATTCTGCTATTCCCAACTCAAGGAAGCTGAGACAAGGCCGTTTCGGTTGACTCAGGCAATCCCAGGAGCTTCAAAGAGTCTGGATTATGATTGTCAATCTACTTTTGAAGAGTCGGGGCTTGCCAACTCTATGGTCTCAGTTACTTGGGAATGAATGAATGAATAAAATCATGTTAGGGAATTTTTGGTTTTGTAATTTTGTTTATACATGTTTCCAGGACTTAGGAGGTGTCGTTTAATGGATGGGGAATTGGGGATGCAGATTTTGTAGTGTACTATTTATTATGTATATACTCATGCAAAGGGCGCATGAATCTACACTTGTCTATGCTAAATTTGGCGCTCTCTCTCCCTCTCTCTCTCTCTCTCTCATTAGAGTTTTGTATGGATGGGCCACGTGGCACGAAATCTCACTTTAGAATTTTGGGCTCTATCCACCTTTTAACAATTTGATTCTTTCTATGATTTGGATCGTATCTCAACATCTTTTGAAGAAAGGACGAAATAGTAGACCAAGAACTTTAAGCCTAACTACCCCCCCCCCACAAAATGGCTCAATAATATATAGCCCGAGCCGAGATGGAATTTGATGGGATGGATGCTGGAACATTTTAGACAAGACATGGGCCTAACTTTTAGACCATTTTAACTTTTGACAGAATTCTCTTCGATTAAATCAAAGAGATCAAAAGCTAGAAAAGTTTCACGAAAGGCAGGGTAACTAAAAAAGTTTCACTTGTCGGCACATGCCGACAATTGAAAAACAAAGAGATCAAAAGCTACGACATTTTCGTATTCGTGTCAAAGATATTTCCTTTTGGTTACTTTATATATTGTATTAAGGCCACAATATCTTTCTTTTCAAAAGCTAGATTTGGTGGAAACAATCTTTTCATGATTTCTGCATGTTCATCTAAATGTTCTGAGTTATCCAGTGCTGGAAATTAGTTAAATATAGAGTTTATTTTCAATCCATATATCATATATATATATGGATAAAATATAAATTCTCCTATGCAAACATCCGAATGTTATTACTGTGTGAACACCATGTATTTTCTATTACTTTATATTTTCCTTCATATTTACAATGACATCTGTATGAGAAAATAACTTATATAATAGTTGTTAAACTTAAAACGTAATTTAAAATCTAAAATAAACCAAATATGTTTGATTAATTCTGTCAATAATGTAGGAGTGATCTCCCTCCTTACATAAAGGAGAAAAATATCACATGCCAAAAAAGTAATCTGATATTCACTAATCTTGATTTTTTTTTTTTGTAGGACGAGTCCTTTCCAAGCTGTTTTCCAGTATTTGAAACTAATTTTGTTCAATTAATCTTGTAAAGTTATCTTTTCATCATAAGCCCTGATTACTTTTATTATATACATAGGACATTAAAACCAAATCTAAAATAACAAGTTGTACAGTTATAATTAATTTATAAAAAAATTATTTTAGGCTTAGCATTTGCATATATAACTTATAAGCATATACTTGGCATAAACAATGGTTTCAAAATCCAGAGGGAGGTAGCTAGGGATATCCATGATGAGTGAAGCCAAGAGAGAAAAAAAAAAGACGTTTGACAGCTCAATGGAGCTTGGATTGTCGTCATATAATGTTGGCAGAAAGCACAGATCACGCAGTGACAAGTCACCGCTGCTGCACTAGTCCCAATAATGTATTATGTATCGACACAGAGTCACAGAGATGTACGTGTGGCTCCTCTTTTTCTTCTTTCTTTCTTTTTATTAATTACTTTTTTTTTTCATTTCTCGAATCTCCTTCTCAATGGCATACAACTCTTATCTATCTATATAAGGGCTTGCAAGCTTAGTAATCTTTTACATCGATATACAAACTAAGCTAGTCTAGCTACCTCACCAGAGACATATACATTATAAAGATATGGAGCGCTCCATGCGTTTATTTTCAACTGCCTTCGTCTTCTTTCTGCTTCTGGCAGCTGCTGGTAATATTTAGGCTTCTTCTCTTGTCTTTCCTCTGGTTAACTTGTAAACTATATATATATATATATATATATATTAAACTGTTGGGATTAACTAATGTATATGTTTGGAATGATTTGCAGGGATGATGGGGCCAATGGTTGCTGAGGCTAGGACCTGTGAGTCTCAGAGTAATCGGTTCAAGGGAACTTGCGTGAGTACAAGCAACTGTGCATCTGTTTGCCAAACTGAGGGCTTCCCTGGTGGCCATTGTCGTGGCTTTCGCCGCAGATGCTTTTGCACTAAACATTGTTAATTACCGATGATCGTGATACTCCTGCATGCACATTTCTATGTGGGCCTGGGAGGAGACGATTATGAATGATCACTTATATCAGTGGCCGTACGTGCAACTAAAATAAATAATTATATAATGACCCAATTAACAGTTGGGTTATTATTATTGTTCTTGTTCTTTGTTCTTGTTTGTTAATTCAGTACCACCCTCGTGAGTTGCCTTGCCTTGTTTTGTCAACGATGTCTTTGTAATACCCCTACGTTTTGTAATAATGCAATATTATTGATTGCCTCAACCACACATGTAGTCATTTTGCGGCGGGGGAGCAATTTAAATTCCAATATTTCAAATTTAAGGTGGCCATAAATATATGGAGAGAAAACCTCACCACAAATATTCGAAATCAAAAGTTTGCTGGCCAAAATAGGAGCTGGAATTTTTCAACTCCTTAATTTGGTAAAGGAGCTAGCTTCCTTTACGGAGATGGATCTCCTCTACGACCCTGTATAAAAAGCCCTTCCATGGCTGTAGTTCTTTACAATAATATTTGATCTCTACTGCATACACAAGCACACACATACACACAGATCAAGCTCGCTCGCACGCACACACACACACACAGAGATAAAGATGGATCGCTCCATCCGCCTTGTTTCAGCTGCCTTCGTTCTTGTCCTGCTTTTGGTGGCTACCGGTATATCTTTTAATTCCCTTAATTAATTTGATCAGTACATTAATTATGTATGTAGATTAATTAATCAAATTACGGATGCATGCATGGATGTTGATTTGACAGAGATGGGACCAATGGCTGTGGAGGGAAGGGGCGCTAAGAAGGTTGAGCCAAATAAGAGGACATGTGATTCTCAGAGCCAAAAATTCAAGGGGATGTGCTTTTTGACAAGTAGCTGTGTGCAATCGTGCAAATCAGAGGGCTTCACCGGAGGCCAATGCCGCGGTTTCCGCCGCAGATGCTTCTGCTCCAAAAATTGTTGATGAATCACTTTATCATAAAAGTGTATATGTGTGGGAGAAAAACAATCTGTGGAACCGGAGCGTGCTTGTGTAATGAGATCTATTGATTGACTCAGCTGTGCTGGGTTAATTGCTTTTGCTACCTAATAAACTAAATGACTGCATGGATAATTTCTTTTATTGTTTCTTGTGTTGTCCTCCTTTTCTTAATCTCCTATAGTTTTTTTATTTACTTAAAAATATTCTTAATCTCCTCCCTCCTCTTGAAGATTATGAGTCAATTAGAGGATCCCAAACCTCTGAATTTTGGGCTAAAAATAAAAGAAACAACTCAAACGCGTTATAACTTTAAGGTTAACATTAATTTTGGTTAATTGAAAAAATGACTTACAATTTGATAATGCGGTGTCTGTTGGATGGTTAGATTGTTTAAGTGGCTTAGATTTAATGAAATGCGGGTAAATGCATGAGAACTAAATGCAGAGGCTCAAAATCTCGATTAGGATATGTGCACAACAAAAAATGAAAATGAAAAATCTCGCAGTCAGTTGACACAATTTATTTATTTATTTTGGAAACATGGGCTAAGCCCAAAGCACAACAAAATGAGTGTAAAAAATAAAATTTTGAAGGCCTAGTGATATACCTAGGAAAATGAAATTGTTTAGAAGCCCATTAAGAACACATCCAGCCCCGTTTAGCTCGGAGTCCAGAAGCATCACGTTTGATAACGGCTTTTTCTCTAATTAAAATTCAAAATATTTTACATTGAATTTCATATTTTTTCCATTCTATATTTAAATATTTTCTTATTGAATATACCAAATAAGAAATCTCATTTATTAATCTGACCAAATAATTTATTCGTTAATTATACAAAATAAAGAATCACATTTATTCATTTGACAAATTTACGAAGTAAATCAAACCATACATGCATGACAAAGATATCAAAATCATTTGAAAATTAATTAAATTGACCTATTTCTCTTGTGTTAAACCGAACATGCAACCCCTATAAATATGGCCCAAAAGTGCTCACTAGTATAGCGCAAAACAAACCTTGAAATTCAACTTTACTCCTGGTGTCGCACAAATCATAAAAATCTGGAGATGGCGACATCTAACAAAAACTTTCTTTAAGAAATAAATAACAAAATATTTCAATAATACACATAGTTTTCTTGATCAATCTCTTACAATAATAATGATTTTAAACACAAATGTTATGTGCTCCAATCAAGCAAGGCCTGTATTGTGTTGCTCCATTATTTTTGTCTGATCTTTGTGATTATTGGAACTCATCAACGTCTTAAACTAGATCAAAATTAAGGCAACACAAAGTCTTTTTCCTATATCTTCAGAAGACATACTTGTAAATCAAACATGGAAATGAGATAAAGCTAGCTAATATAACCTGGCCATTTCCTATTCCAAAGAATCAGCATCTCCCACAATTATTTTTCCTCTTCTCATTTTTAACGCTGCTGAGCTTCTATTGAAGAATCTCTCAAATAAGCTTATTTGAGGGACACTTCTTGTAGGCCCTACTCCGGATTGTATTTTACTAATCCAAACCGTCTATTTTGTATATATATGTTGAGTTATTATTACAAGGGCCAAAAGTTTGTCAGTGAAAATAGGAAGTTGTCTATGGTGCCTCTTGAAGCTGGAATTTTTCAACTCCTTTTTTTGGCTATGGGGGTAACATGCCTTTACGGAGATGGATCCTCTTGAATCTGCTCTTCGACCCTATATAAACACCCGTGCATGCTTACTGTTCTTCACATTAGCATCTGAGATCTCTGCTTCATACACAAGCACACACACGCACAAATACACACAGATCAAAATGGAACGTTCAATGCGTCTTGTTTCCGCTGCCTTGGTTCTTGCCCTGCTTTTGGTGGCTACCGGTATGTCTTTAGTTCTCTCTTCTTTACTTAGTTTGATGAGCACATTAATTAATTATATAGATGAACATAATTAACTTACGGATGCATCCATGGGTGTTACTTTGACAGAGATGGGACCAATGGCTGTCGAGGGAAGGAGCGCTACTAAGGTTGGGCCAAAGAAGAGGACCTGCGAGAGTCAGAGCCAAAAATTCAAGGGAATTTGCTTCTTGACGAGCAACTGTGCCACGAGTTGCAAAACAGAGGGCTTCAATGGAGGCCAATGCCGTGGCTTCCGCCGTAGATGCTTCTGCTCCAAAGCATGTTAATTGATTATAATGGATCCATGATCCATCTGTGTGGGAGAGAGCTGTGAGCGTGCTTGTGTAATGAGATCGATTGATTGACCCAGCTGTGCATGCCGGGTTAATTGCTTTTGCTAATAAATGACCCTGCATGGGTCATTTCTTGTTTTTGTTCCTTGTGTTGCGTGTTCACCTCACTTAAATTTTTTTTAAAAACATAAACGATAATCTAAAGTGTTGAACGGGAAACTTTCACAAAAGCAATCAGCCAGAAATTTGACTTGGGATATAATAGAAATTTTTGTCCTTGCAGTCTTATCAAGAAAAAATAAAAAAAATAAAAGAGATGTATTTTGTTAGATATGAAACACCAAGAGATAAGATCTCAGTTGAGAAGTGGTCATCAGCTTGAATTCAAACTCTTCATAATATAGCCTCTATAAGAGGCATGACTTCTAGGAGCAAAAAGGGGAGGAGGCAGGAACAAAGAGGAATAGCAAGCACATAAGAGGATTCCTGGCTATGGTGACTTCTATCATAATAAAAAAAAAAGTTAGGAATCTCTCTATGGCAAGGCTATGCTCAAAGACTTCCAAGGAAGCACTCAACCCATGGGAATTCTTGGCTATGAATATGATGATTGAAATCATCACATATTAAGTCAAGAAACTACTCTAAGGCGTACCTCTTCTCAAATACCTCCAGGACATCCAGCTACGGATTGACAGCCAAGATGATTGTAATCATCATGAGATCAAGTCCTCATCGGCTCCGAGGTGCAGCTCCTCTCAGACGCTTTCAGGATGTGCTCAACATCCAATTCACAAGCACTCTGTAAGGATTGCTTATCATGATGGGCTAACCATCACAAAACTAGAGTTGGTTTGTGGTGCCATTAACAAACGTGGAGAAACTCCCAGAATTTTCTGGGCTTATCTTCCTACAGCCAAATCAATGAAACAGGCAGTTTCAATTCAAGAAGATCCAATTTGGGTACAAAACCCACAAACAAAACCATGAAGGGGTTTAATCTCACAGCAAATAAAAATCAGCCGTGTGCACAAAAAAAAGAAGAAGAAACAAATCTCGAAAAGGGAGACCGCGTAGTGCAGCCCATTCCTTGAATTCCTCATCTGGGGATTGTTTGCAAACAATCAAAACAAAGGATGGAGGTCTTTAAAAAAGGGAAAAAGGATAGCCACGTTTCTGTTGGCAACTTCTTGTTGGGCAGCAAACCAAAAACAGAGAAAAAAACGAAGAAGAAAATGAAGGAAGTTGAGATTCTACCCCAAAACCAATTGGCAATGGGGGAATAGCCCAACCCTTATAAGCCTTCCTTCAGAAAGTGGCGTCCAATAAAAAAGGAAGAAGGCGAAAGAGTGATCTCAACCCATCTTTGTTTCAGAGAAGAGCCAGCATTTCACATGGCAAAAGCTCCAGTCAAAAATCAAAAAAGGAATGCACTGCCATTAACAGAGACTACAAAGAACAAATCTCAGAAATTTGGCGTGTTCCTTTTGGTTTGGATTGGATGTATAGAGAAAATATGGGCAAAAGCTTATTTCTCTCATATCGAAAATTTGAGTTCTGTTACAAAGAGGATGGTAGCTGGAATGAGAATAAAAGAATGCTTCATGTAATTACCCCAACTAGTGGTTACAAGCCGCCTTCTCTTTGGCTCCCACGACGAGGGAAACAAAAAATAATATCTTTAGAAAAGCTGCTCGTTCCATGCACAGAGAGTGAGCCACATGAAAAACCAAAAGAAAAGAAGTCAAATAAAAAAGGCCAACCACATATATGGTTGCCCTTCAATTCAAGTTCTCTCACACTTGCAGGCCTCAAAATTTCACAGGCCCGCGTACTCAAGGCAGGTTCGGGAAAGCAAAACACCAAGGCTTCACTCCTGCAAGGATCTCCATCTTAAGTCCGTTTGCGATAGGGTAGTTCCGCTCAAATTCAAAGCTGAGTCAATCAGGGACTGCCAAATCAATTGAGGTGGGCTTCATGGGTTTGTTGTACGAAGTCACGAAGATTACGCAACAAGTCTAAGAGCCCAATTCTGAACTACGTTGATTTGATCCCTTTGAAAGGGTACGTAAGCAATCTAGAGATTCAATCTAGATGCAACCATCTCAAACACAATTTCATATAGAATTCTTGGTTTATTCAGTTAAATTCACTTAAACACTCATCAACACAATTCAAATCAAAATTCTCACGCAATGAGTCATTTATTCATTGCGGCGATTATTTGAACTAGGAGTGGCTTGATTTCCGCAAGAGATATGTAGGCACCCTGAGGTTCTACTTAGGGGCAATCACAAAACCAAACACACGTTCTGTTTCTTTATGATGGAATCAATGAGTGTTCTCTTGAAGGAAGAGATTGTAATTAAAAGACATTATATCTCAATAGGTCGAACCTAAAATAATAAAACCCTATTAATTAATTAGTGGTGGTGAAATTATGTTGAGAGGATCACATTTTCCTTCAACATAAAGTATTTTAAATTAATTTAATTTACGAGAAGAGAAACTTGAACTTAGATGCAAAGGATTGACTCATTGGCCTGACCAACTAACCTAATCTATGTCTTAGGATTATGAGCCAGAAAGGATAAAAAAAAAATGAAAATAAAATTCGGGTTACATGGGCTATGCCCAATAACAACAAAACGAACGTGTTAAAGCAAAATTTCAAGGCCTGGTGACACCGTGGAAAATGAAATTCCCTTGAAGCCCATTAAGAATACAGGCCGCCAGACTACAGAAGGGGAAATCAAAAACCGCAAGCGGGAATTCAAGCGGAATCTCTTCTCCCCTGCAGTCGGCGCCGTTGGTGTTGTTTACTTTTGGGGATGAATCAGAAATTCGGGGGAGGGAGGCTGCCCACCGGCACTCCTTCGTTGGCTTGGTCGTCCGTCGTTGTTGTCGTTTCGCTTCTCGCTGGGGCCTCCGTTGTCCACAATCTCTACAAGCCAGATCTCGTACGCGCGCTTTCTCTCTCTCTCTCTCTCTCTCTCTCTCTCTCTCTCTCTCTCTCCTCCGTTGTCCACAATCTCTACAAGCCAGATCTCGTACGCGCGCTTTCTCTCTCTCTCTCTCTCTCTCTCTCTCTCTCTCTCGCGCGCGCGCGCACGCACACACTCACGGAGTGTAATACCTTCTTGTTGATCAATTACCAAAAAAAGAATATATGCGGTTTAGGTTCTGTATTTGACCCTGACGTATTGCACGCGAGGTGTTCGATAAAATGTTTGGCTTACCTGCTCTATTATTGTGTTTGTCATTGAATCAAAATAATATTAGGCGCTTATAAATCCTATGCAATTTGTGCAGACGTTGCCTCCTGTGGATGGTGTAAACGGGAGCAAGGAGGGGAAGCAACCTGAGAAAGAATGAAATGGATCACTTCTTCCTCCTAGTTTTTCTGCTTTGCCAAAATTTAATTGCTTTCGCTTTTAATCTTAATGCACTTTAATATGTGAATTATGGTGTGAGTTAGCTAGCTAGAAGAGGAGGAGGAGCCGCCACTCCCATGGATTTCTCTCGTTGTTGCGTGTGATTGAACTTTTCTATTTAATAAATTGACTTTATTCTGGTTCAAACCAACCCCAAAAAAAAAAAAAAAAAAAAGGGGTTGAATCATCATCATTGTGCTTATGTGTGACTTACAAATCGCATGTCAGCTGTTAGTTTTTGTTTTTACATTAGGAAAGAGAATTAAGTTCATCCTTGACTACATGAGACACCGCCGCCTAATGATGACAGCCAAATCAGAATCGGTCATCCAGAAATGATATAATTTTGGTCACCTCGATAAGTGTTGATGCATATGCAGCCAGTTAGGTTCTCTTGTTTTGTTTTGGTGCGTTAAAAACAAGAAGCATGCACGACGACTGTTGTGAAATACATCAAAAGTCAGAAAAGCGACACACATATATATATATATATATGTAACGTATTAACGTTGACCATATCCTTGTTATAATATTGTTTCGGTAATAACAAGCAGGCTGTGGTGGGTGGGTCACATCTCACATACACCCAGTCATGGTCAAGAATATATCCAGAAGCCCATCAGTTCAGAAGGAGAGCATGCATATAAACTAAGTCCTAATAATTTATCATTAAAGTGAACTTACTATGATAAGTTTTTAATTTTAGGCTCACAGTTAGCTAGACTTGGTTGGTTCAGTGAAAGTGATGATTATAAATTAATTACAAAAGTTATGGACACGTTTAATTACAACTCTTCCAACCATTAAGCAAGAAATATTTGTTCATTTTTTTCCTTAGTTACATACAATTTAGGGTAAGACGACACGTTAACCACTCTTAAACAGAAGATTACTCATATATATCTTGCCCTTAATTAAGTTTGTCTTTTCTTAATTAAGTTTTCCATGTTGGATTGTTTTTTTGGATTGGAACAACGAAACGTGGGCTGCTATGAAAGAGAACGGGCGAATCGCGAAAACTACAAAATGCACCTACTTTTTACATACATATAATGCCCAATTGCATGCATCGCACAAACAAGTAAAAGGTAATAACGAGTTGTAAATAATATATTTAAACGACTAGTTTTCATGCTTGACCAGCTATACGTACACTTTACCAATTGAGAAATTTCAAAGTACAATACATTTTTTTTATAGTTTTAAAACGAAGACTTTTTACGGCAACCAAATCAGAATGAGTCATGCAATTACTTGAGGAGCTTGCACATTAATTGAACAGAGACTTGGACAAACCAGCTTGGCTGGCTACTCATAAACTGCCCTAGCTATATATAGATGAGAGCTACAAGCTTACTTCATCAACATCTTCAATATTCATTCTCATTATTTCTTCAGTTTCCATTTCCACTCTACCTAAACCCTTAATTACCTTGCGAAGTTGAGAGAGAGAGAGAGAGAGAGAGAGAGTTTTGATTTGAGTTTTAATCATGACCAAGTCTTTCTCTTTCACGTCCCATGCAAATGTTGCATTCGCGATGTTGTTGCTTTTCTTCATCATGACCACAGCAAGCCAAGCGCAACTATCTTCAACTTTCTATGACCGAACCTGCCCAAACGCTCTTGCTACTATCAAATCATCCATAAGCAGAGCAGTTTCGCGTGAACGCCGGATGGCGGCCTCCCTAGTGCGCCTCCATTTCCATGATTGCTTTGTTCAGGTACGTACTAATTACCCCATCATTAATTAAGCCAGCCACTGATTGATCATAAGCAGTCTTTGACTCCTGGTTTTTGTTTTTGATGATCGATTGCAGGGTTGTGACGCCTCACTCTTACTTAATGATTCTGCTTCTATCGTAAGCGAAAAGAACGCATTTCAAAACAGGGGTTCTGCTAGAGGCTTCGAAGTCATAGATGATGCAAAAGCTCAAGTGGAGAAGATTTGCCCTGGTGTTGTATCTTGCGCAGATATCCTTGCTGTGGCAGCTCGGGATGCATCAGTTGCTGTGAGTACATGAATAAATAATTCAATTTGATTCTTTTATTAATTGGAATTATGTTAATGTCAACCTCGTGGCTTTAATCTTGTACAACTACTAATAATTGCAATTAACTAAATATACATATACATATGATATAGGTGAGTGGTCCATCTTGGACTGTGAAGCTTGGAAGAAGAGATGCGACCAGAGCAAGCCAAGCTCAAGCTGAAAGTGACCTTCCACTTTTCACAGACTCCCTTGACCGCCTGATTTCCAGATTTGGTGACAGAGGCCTCAGTCCCAGGGATCTGGTTGCATTGTCAGGTAACTATTTAAATGAATCATATATGCCTGCCTTGCTTAGAAAATGCTATATTAATTAAAAATTTATGCTAATTAATGAACTTATATATGTATGAATGCAGGTGCACATACAATAGGGCAGGCTCAGTGCTTCACATTTCGTGACAGGATTTACAGCAATGGAAGTGACATTGATTCTAACTTTGCAACTACTCGCAGACGCCGCTGTCCAGCTGCTGCACCCAACGGTAATGCAAATTTGGCACCACTTGATTTGGTGACACCAAATTCATTCGACTACAATTACTTCAAGAATTTAATCCAGAAGAAGGGTCTTCTTGAATCAGATCAAGTTCTCTTTAGTGGAGGATCCACAGACAGCATTGTCTCTGAGTATAGTTCGAAACCCGCAACTTTTAGGTCTGATTTTGGAATCGCCATGATTAAGATGGGAGACGTTTCTCCTCTCACCGGTTCAGCTGGAGAGATCAGAAGGATTTGCACTGCTCTCAACTAAAACCTTCTTGAGCCCCAAGAATCAAGATGAAATGTACAACCTAATTTGAACAGCGAATGTCTTCCTTTTTTGTTTGTTTTTTATTTTTTTGCCGATGTCTTGTTGTATTTGATTCGTTCATATGTAACCTCAATTATTATACAGTGTTGTTATTGTTGTAAGAATAAATTACACCTCAATGAATACTTTGAGGAAGATAATGGAAATTACTCGAATTGTTATATTTTGTCAACGATATTAGCTTTTTATATTTGTCAATAAAATCTTTTTTGGGAACGAATTATGAACCCCCTACCACCGCTACCTACGTTTGAAGACCAAGTCCTCCTGTAAATATATAATCAAAATGATTCACAAGCAGGATAGTTGAAATAATATTGGAACAAAACAAAACAACGCTAATTAAACACTGAAAAATAATTAAATGATGTCTAAATTTAAAGTGTAAATAAAACTCATGATTTACAGTTATTTATAATTTTCTAGGATTTTACTCATTTTTAAATAATCGAAACTATTTTAAATATACTTTTGGAGCTTGAAGCTTCTCTTTTCCTTGGCGTAGTTCCAAGCCTCTTTCCATCTACAAATCTATCTTCTTCTACGCCAAAGAACAAAAGCCACCTCCGCAACAGAGCCAGCAAGAGAAATATCCCCTTCCAACGGACATCAAGGCAGAAAAACCCCCTTCAACCACCCGGTAGCATTTATATAAAGACTTGTCCAAACTCTTTTGAACAATGAGCAACTCAAAAACTGCTAATATTTTGATGTTTTGATTGCTGCTTGGTTTACTAATATATGGTCAATATTTTAACATGACAAACAACATATAAAACATGTTATTAGTTTATTTTTTGTAACTTAAACTTGCTAAACAAAGCATGATGCCACTATTTAGATCTCCATGTCTATATAAATAGTACCATCTTCCCAACATATTTTCACGACTTTGTACACATTTCACAAGGTTTTAAAACCCGTAGCATCGCGCTGCCACCATTGCTAGTTTAGTACTGGATTCATTGGATGACTCAACTATCTTATGGGTAAAATTTTA